AGTGGGTGTCGGCCTTCCTGGTGTACGCCAGCGTGCTGTGCGAGCGCCACCCCCACAAGTGCGGGGCCATGTTCAAGTACCTGGACATGATCCGCAAGTTCCACGCCACCTATGGTGGCACCTCCTGGCTGCGCTACGACGAGGACTTCCGGCGCCGGGCCGCCCAGGACCCCGGCCTGGCCTGGGGCGAAGTGGACCTGCAGCTCTGGATGAAGTGGATGTCCCCGCTGAAGCCGCCCAGAAGTCGGCAGCTGCCTACTGAGGGCAACGAGCAGGCGCCGCCCCCATCACCACCACTGCCGCCGCTGCCGCTGCCACCCCCCAGACCGGATGAGAAGAGTCAGGTGTGCGGCGGGGCTTTGGCCGGGGGCGCGGGCTCCCGCACCGACTGCAGCTCCGAGCAGGAGGGCACCAGGTGCCAGGGGTGTCCCGGCGCGCTCGGAGAGGACAGGGAAGGGCTCGGCGACAGGACACGGGAAGGAGGCGAGCAGCGGGGCTCGGAGAGCCACTCGAGTTGAGACAGGGCCTCGCTTAGAGTAGAGGCATGGAGGTAGGCGCAGAGTGTCTGGCTCCGGGGGTTGAAACATGCGAGGTAGCATCTGTTGGCTAGGCCCTGTTGCCACACAAGCTGGCAACAGGTGACCGCTGGTGGCTGCACCATGGTGTGGGTGGTGACCGCATGTTCAGGGTGGTAGAATAGAGTGTTATTGCAGGATTGGTTGCCTTACCCGTCTTATTTCACCAATATGTAACTGCTCCTAGAAATGGGCTATCGATACCGCAGTCATGTTAAAAAAGGCCCAAGGAGCTCTGTGTTTCGAAAGAACTGGCTGCTGCCCGAAGGTTTGGGATTCGGAGGGAGGGAGGGAGGGATTTTGGGGGGGGGGGCGAGAAGGCCTGCAGAGAAATCTCGTTTCCTTGTTGGGTTAAAGGAAGGAAAATCTTCCCAACTATAGAGCTGCCTATGTGTAAAACCAACCGGCGGAGATTCCTGTGGTTTTTGCAAGAGTATATGGCAGCGTGGGGGAAAAGGAAGATGAGAGGCAAAGACTTAACGTTTCTAGGCCCACTGGGGAGGAACTTCAGATTCTAGTTCAACTCAGGAAGTGACGTCCATGTGACAAAAGAACGTGTTTTCATGGAGGATTTGCCTTTCTTACAGCCATCACCAATAGCTGAACTGGTGCAACCGTGAACACGCACAGGTATAGTGACTCACTCCATTGGTGGGGCTTACCCTATTGCAAACAGCAGTGAGCTCCACCGTGCAACAGCTGACTTTCCTGTATATGGCTGGGGATGCGCCAGTCCAGTTACGCAGATAGCAGTGATGGGGCATATCCCCAGTGTAGACGAGGCCGAAAGCTGAATGGCTTATTGTCAGATGTACGATGCTGGGAAATTTTTTATTACTGTGCTGAATATATCTTTTTGTTTTGTTTTGTTTTAATTCTTTTGAACCCAAAGGAAGGTGCCTTTGCATCCTTTTTCGGTTTGTTTATTTTTTAGGGGTTTTTTTGCTTTTCTGTTCCTGTATGTATTGTATTTCATAGCGACTGTTGGTCCAAAAGTGTGGTAAATATGTTGGATGGTACTAGCCTAATCTGGAAGCAGATAACTTTTCAAGGGGATTTGCAAACATGTAATCAATCACACTTAGTCTCAAATTTTGCCTTGTATCGAAACTGGTTTGTCTTAGCCAACTTCCAAAATAGTGGAAATGCCACCATAAAATAAGTACTGTAATAGCTCCCACTACAGCTATTGTGGCATTAGTACACTCTAATGATGGTATCCTGTTCTTATGCAATTTGTTCTGACAGCTCTATTTAGACTTCTCCGTTCTGAACTGAAGCAGATCAGTTTTTACTTCATTGGAGGTCTTACCACGTGAGCGTTCTAAATATAATATGTCAGATATATATATTTTTTAATTTATCAGAGGTTTGAATTCCAGCTTGTATCCGAATCAAGAGTCTGGTTACAGTTACAAGTTATTCTATCTGTTAGTACTTTGTGCTGGACAGATATCCTATTAAGAATTTTGTTCCTGTTGAAATTGGTGGTAAAAATTCCTGTTGTGGTTTTTTGGGGGGGGTTGCAGGCGTAGGATTTGGCTCAAATTTGGAAAGTTTTTCCCCAGACCTGAAAAATGCGATAAGAATTTACCAGGTTTTTTTAGAAAAGTGTTAAATGTATTCTAGCCTTTAAATAGGTTTAGCTATGTAGTTTTTTTTGGTATTGTAGATTAAGGGCCCCACCTAAATATAAAGTTTGTACTAGCAGTACCACTTTAACTAATCTGTAAAGTGGTATAGCTGCCCCTCATGTGGATGCAGTTACATCCCAATAAAAATGCTTATGTTGTCATACCAGTACAAGCACTTACAGGAATAAACTATAACTATTTCAGTTAAGTTATACCCCTAATTGAAATAATAATACAAGTGTAGTTTCTAAGCATAGGCTGCATCATTTAAGATGAAGTGTGGGACTTTCCTGACAGGGCAAGGGTATCAGTGGAGGTCCAAACGTACAATGGAGTTGCTGTCCTTAGAATGAGAAAAGGAAATAGGTTTTTTCCCCCCTACTCTCTCTTAATTTGCTATTTGTGGTTTTGTTATGATATGTTAAGACAGAGTCAAAGAAATAAAAATTGTGCCTGTTTTGGTGAGAGGACCAGAGAACTACAGTGGCCTAAACCTGAATCTATACATTTCCCACTCGAATTATTGACAAAAGTAGGGATGCTGTCTTTCACAAAGATTTCTCCCAGATTGCTTGTTGAATCAAATGTGTGCTTTTTTTGTTTTGTTTAATATATTTTTACAAAATCAAAGAACACTTTCACACAGCCCAATGCAACTGTGGACAGGTGAACAGTTAAGGAAGTTTTAAAATTCTTGTGCTTTACAGCTGTTCCATTGTAACTTCTGTCTGTCCACTCTTAAATGGAAGCTGAACTGTTCATAACATTAAGCCCTATTTTATTCAGCCATAATGTTGCTGTGGTCTGATTCCACTATACCTGGGTAAGAGTGGACAGACAAAACAGTTTCAGAAATTCAACTGATGCAAGCTCTCAAGCAGTGAGTCCCTCTCCTTTCTTAAACCGGTTGAATGTTATAGCTGTTTACAGCTTAAACCGGTGGTTCTTAACTGGAGTACCATGAGAACTGCCCCCTGCTCCTCCCTTCTGGGGTGCTGCAGCATTGGTGGCTGGGTAAAACTGCCCCACATGCTTCTGCATTAGGGCTCTTTGATAAAACTGAAGCAAGTAGGATTGCTGCTTTGGGCTGCAGTTGTTCCCAGTCTAGCCCCTTCGCCCCTGCCCACTTTCTGGAAATAGTTTCACCTATTTTGCATGCCTCCGTGTCTGGGGGATGTTGTGCAAAGTTGGATTGGGAAGGGTTGAGCATGAGCCAGCTTTCCTCCCCACTTTAGGCTGATCAGAGAACCCTAATGCAGAAGTAGTGTGTGCACGTGTCACAGCCCTTTCCAGCTTGGCTGTGCAAGTAGGCACATGCGGAAGTTTTATTTGAAGGCAGCAGTACACAGTTGAGAAGCACTGAGATAAACTGAGCATAGTGGTTTTTAGCTGGGGGTACTGCCACATTCAAAAAAAGTTGTGCAGGGGTGGTGCGACTCTCGGAAAAGGTTGAGAGCAACTGGCCTAAATGATCCTTCCTCTCTCAATTGAAGACTTTGAAGACTGATTAGATTAGATTTCAATGCCTTGTAAAATCTGTAGTTCTGCAAGCCTACAGAGAATCACCGGTATTAACTAAATGAAAAGTTGGTATTTCTAATGTAAGAATAAGCATAAATATAAACAAACAAAAACCTGAAGTTTTTTTTACTTCATAAATTAGTAATATGGAAATATCATTTTTATTCTTTAAGAGACGAGACAGAGAGCCTAAGTTAGTAGGCATGAGTACAGCCAACTGAGATAAATTATAGCAAACTGAAGTCTGGGTTAATATTAGCCAAAACAAATTTCAGACCCATGCAACCACAAAGCTGGTTGAAGGGCAGTTAGATTAAGTGTATGAGTTAATATATTATAACTGACTAACTTTGGATTTTAAATATTTGCAGATTTGTTAAAAACAGAATTTCTTATTGGTGCCAACAGCCTGAATCCATTGGTGTTTAAGAGGAGCTCTGGTATTCTAGTGCATTCTTTTACCTCTGCTTCTGTTGCATTGCAAGCTGTGCTAGAGAAGACATAGGAAATTCGTTTTACCCAATCAGCAATTGTAACAATGGACTACAAACCTACAGAGCAAGCCAGTTTGTTGGAAAACAGGAGTTCCTGCAGCGCAGCACTTGACACAGACTATCCAGAGGGCAGAGATTCAAGAGGGTGAATAAATCTGAAACAATCTCCAGAAGGGGAATCCTAACCTAAAATTCTAATTTGAAAATATTAGCCATTTAAAAAGCAGATTGCCCTTTCTCATTTGAGCAGTGTATCACAACTGGACACTTCAAAACGTGTGTACTGTACTACTAAAAAAATCTAATACTTGTCTTTGTTAGAGTTGTTAATTTTTACCATTTCTGAAAAATATCTGCAGCAAATGTGTATGAACTTGAAATTATCTTACATTCAGTATATCTCAGGTGGTTGAAATAATTGCTTTATAAGGCTCACCTAATACTGCCTCTTAATTTTTTTTTCTCTGAACTCCCTTCCCCATCTTTAATTTACACTGGCACCATTGAAAACAGGCATAACAGTCATACGTATCTAGGTCCTTACCCATACTAAGAGTTGACCTAAATTATTCTTCCATTTACATCCCAGTAGCATACTAGCATCCAGTACATACATCTGAGTGGTGTATCTGGCATCCTAAGTCTCAGGTATGATTGTTTATAGTCTGGTGCCAATGAGAATCAGATTAGATGGTCTATGGTGTAACGATACTCCATTTTCTTCAGTGGCTTATTTTCCATTTCTCTCCCCACACATCCTAGAGAATATGATTGAAGTAATACTATGCTACAATAACACACTATGGTAAGGTCATGCCTTTCATTGTATCAGGAAAATCTGCCGCTATCTGTTCTATTTTCCCCCTTCTTAATAGTCTCAGTTACATGAATTAACATGAAACGTTTGTAAATTCATGTTAAAGTGTTTGAGATCTCATCTAAATAAATTTTTATATATAAAATTTGCTCTAATTTATTGACTCTTCTTTCGCTTTTCCTTGCTGATTTGGAATGTCGCTTTCCCTGATTGATCATTGTGCCTTTTGGCTTCTTAAAATTGTACAGGTCTGGAAGAATCATCTTAAGCATGGAAGGGCTGCAGCAAAAACTCTGCTGAAACTCTCTCCAGAAAACGCAGGCGTTTGTTACTTTGAAATTTGGCTTTGTGTATTTTGCATAAGGGCTTGCCAAGTGCAGTTACTGTTCTGGGAGCAGGTTCTCTGCTTGTGTAAATTGTGATGACTTCCCTGATCTCTGCCATCTTGCTGTCCCAGAATGTGGTAGGTGGCAATTCATACGTGGTGGGTTACAGAGCTGCTTAGGTAAATCATGCCACACTTGAAACGGAAGCTTTAAAGGCCCTAAACTGAGACTCTGGAAGTACTTTATAATTCATTGGACTACTAATACTGTAGCATGCAATGAATAAGTTAACTTCTGGGCAGAGCTATCTAGGCAAGCAGAATGGAGATACTGAAGAAGCACTTTAATCTGAAAGCAGATACTGAGGTGACAATTTAATTTGTGCTGAGTGAGCATACTTTACATTCTAGGTGAGTTAGCTTGGAAAAAAAACTGATTGTCTGTCTTTGGTGTAGCAGTTACTGCTAGGCGTACAATGGAAATATTCCATTTTTAAATTTTTTTAAAATTCTGAATGTTCCCTCAAACTCCAGCACTTGTTTTGATTTTAAAAAATCATCACTTCTATCTCCTTTTAGTGCAGTTTCACACACTCAAGACGAACAAAGTTCACTACATTGGGTATGTTCACTTCATTTTTCCTTTACAGTGTTTTCTGTGAAATCTGAAAGAATTTCCAATTGGGAATACTTTAAACAAGTTTTGGACATGAGTTTGAACTGGCATGATCCAACATACTTGGGAAATTTGGCGTGTTCTGGAGTGATAGGACTGCAAAGCAGTCAAGCAGGCTGAATGGCTGTGTATTTCTTGGGACAGTTCCAGGTAGGTCTATGAAAGATAGGAACTTTGTTTTCACAGATGTGCTTTTCAGATATCCTTTACATCTGCTGTTGCAAAGGGCAAAATAAAGTAACTGAAAATGGTAAAATTTCCAGATGTATTGTGACTGACAGCTAAACTAAAAGTGAAGTTTCATCAAAGGCATATTGAAGTTAGTAGGATTTTTTTGGTTCTACTCGGCAAACAGGACTAGCAATTTCCACCCAAATAGTTTGGAACAATCTTAACTTTAAACATTTGGAAACTGAATGTTTATATTCTCCAGACCTTGCTAATCGGATGGCTTGTCTCCTCTTCTGTTATCCAAGCACAGGACTCCAGGAAAATGATAACCTTTGAGCTCTTGTGTCAGGGGTGGATGGGAGCCTGCTTGATTGGGACATGACTTGCAGTGCTTTCTTTATTTCTTTTTTGTTGTCTTTTTTTCTTCCCCACTCTATTTTAGTCTATTGTTATTTGTTGTTTTGGGGGTCTTTTTGTTGTTTTCTCCCCTCTTTTCCCCTTTCCCCTAACTATCACTTCACGAATCTGATAAGCATGGCAGTTGGATCAGCTTGGCTTCTTTTCTTGGGATTCTGGAAGTTTATTTATCTAAGCTTTGCTATTACTGCAACTGGTATGAAAACATATGTGACCAATACTGGTATCTTTGATGCTCTTCATTCTTATAAAACAAGACTTTGTACGATCTTGTGGGATGCATTTTCATTTGCTATTTGTTTAGCAAATTAAAATTACTTTGTCAACAAATGAAATAGCACCTTACATTATTCAGGGGTGTAGGTTGTAGCCATGTTAGTCTAAGCACATAGGCAGACAATGTTCTTTGGGTAAATCTGATATCTTTTATCAGACCAACTCAAATAGTTGGAATTTTTTTTCTCTTAGCAAGCTTTCGGGCACAAACACCCTTCTTCACCAGGCTGAGGAAGCACCTACAGATGGTCTGTGCTCTTGCATGGAGTGGTAAGCAGCCAGAGACCAGTAAGTATGCAAGAAAGCCAGTCAGTTAAAATGTAAATTGAGGTGGTTAGTAGGTGAGAGACAGGTGGAGAAGATGGAATAAATGTAGCTGTAGTCAAAGTATCGTGTACAAAAAATCATGGACTAAATATAGATATTGGATTTATGACACGTTATGACCTGCCTGACATCTGACTCCCCAGGTAAAGGCTCCACTTTTTACCATCTAGTCTCATTCCCTTACCTACCCCTGCTGCCCCCCCCCCCTTCCCCATTTCTCCCCTACTGACCACCTCAATTTACATTTTAACTGGCTTGTTTTCTTGCACACCTACCGGTCTCTGGCTGCTTTACCACTGCTTTGATGGTTTACATATATATGTGTGTGTATTTCTGATGTCAAGTTTAATTGGTGGATATCTCATTTGATTAAATACTGCTGTAATAACTTGTAAGCATGCAGCAAGTGGAGACTTGCTCTTAGGGTGAAACAGGTAAAAAAACAGCAAGAAGGAGGAAAATAGCAAAGACATTAAGTGAATGATGTGTAAAGGGGATATTTCAAGATGCTAGTAGCTTGATTTGTATGGTATGTAATGTTACTATGAGATTTGGACCAAATGAATTCTGTGATAAGTATCTTGAGGGTTCTTTGCATAAATAAATGTTGCACAAGCAGTTGAATTTGCATTAGGAAAGGGCAAAGGACAAAAATGGTGAGTAAGCTATTTCCTTTGAAGACAGAAGAACAAATTAATCATAGAATATACTAGGTCACTGTTCCACTTTACATCCTAGAAGTCCTGCTATGAATGCCCATTTCAAAAACTGACACACACTGATCTTCAGATCAATTGAGAAGGGGAAAGTGTTTACCAAAGCTTTTTTGAAAGTAAAGTAAATGTCCCTGAAAGGACTGTTGAAAGATGGTCTCAAGACAAGGATGTTTGAAGGTGACTGTTCTAAATGTTTCATGTTGTTTTTTGGAAGATCCTTCAAAATGACTAGGGTGGGGAGTTTGGAATTTGTCTCTTGTAGCAGACTGTTTGTTTAGAGAGACATAGTTAGCCATATTTATCTAAAGTCAAGTAGAAGGCAGGATAATTTGTTCCTTCTAGAGTAACCGAAGTCAGCATCAGTATCAATACCTACATCTATATCTAGCACAAGCTTTTAAGAGTTGTGAACTTAAAAAATCAAAAACCAACAATCTACTTCAGTTAGTCTATAAGGTGCAAATCTGTCCTGCCTTGAGTTTGTTTAGAACAGGTTCAGCCAATCTGCAGCACATGCTGGCCCAGGGATCCTCTGTGTGACTGGCTGGGAGCAGACTGGGAAGGGGACAAGCAGCACATCAGCAGATTCAGGAGGGAGCAGAAAGCAGAGTAGCCAATTGAAAAGTGGATTGAAACAGCACTAGGAGAGTAGGGCTAACTTGTGGCATGCCTGTCAAAAAGGGTTGGCCCCCACATCTCATTATAAACTTTTAAAATGGTGATTCAGGCTAGGTTAGAAACTGGAAATACCTGAAGTCTTTGGACAGAGCGTTCACTTTTGTTAGCAACTTCACATATGGCAATTGCATGGGAATGAAGTCTGAAAGTGCTGTCTCTGGGACTGGTACACCACACTTGCCTAAGCTGGTGATATATCTGAAAACTTTGTACAAGAAAATGTTAATTAAATTCTTTTTGTAATAAAATGGGACTTGACTGCTTGACTTATCAACATGATGTGGCTTCTTCAATGCCTTCAGGTACTAGGGGAAAAGCCTGTAATACCATCTTGATAAGTCCAAGGGGGAAAAGCTGTTTTGCAGCTGTTCATTTTAATGCCAGCCACCTTTTGAGGATTGTGTGGAATATTTTAAAGAAGAGTAGGAGCAAAACTGTAGTTCATTGATTAAGGATGTGAATCAGATTTGATGAAGGATGTGGTCTCACAGGAGCCATCAAAAATATACACAGCTATTTCAGCACAGAAGCATTTAGTCCAAAAATCTCAGCTCTTACTGTTTATGAAGAAACAAATCAGAGCACATAAAAGGGCAAATTATTTTTCTAGCTGTGAAAGCTGGATGGACTTATACAGTTGAACAGCTGAACATGTTTTAGCCACAAAGCACTTGCTGAAAACTGTAGGAAAATCAAAATGTACATGCATAGAGCTGCTTACTTCTGGGTTAACCTGCCACCACTTTTTCAGTATGTGCTAAGTGTTTCCCAGTCGGACCAAACTTCTTGCCTTGTATTAATGCATATTTTGGACGCTATCCTTACGTTTGAAGACAATTCAATAGTAAAAGTCAAATTAAGTGGCTTCATTGTGCAATTTCCAATACCAAGTGCTTACATATTGCCAAAATTTTATGGGGACTCAAAACCAGTTTTTGAAAGCATTTTTTTTTTTTTTTTTTTTATTGCTTTAGGCAGCCTATTAGTGCCTGTTAGTATTGCAGATGTGTTAATCTTTTATAAAGATGTCTTGTGAGTTAACAGACACGGAATCAAGGACAACCATCTCTATGTACAACATGTTTGAAAATCAAGGAAAACTAATTGCAAGTACAAATCCCTACTTTTATATTTAACAACTAAATCTTTCTGTAGCTAAACAGTTTAATTGTACATGTATACCACTGATTGTGTTAACAGCTTTATTACTTAAAAGCTCCTTCATATGTTGAAATGTAAGGAAAATTTGGTTCCGCCTTCCCCCATCGTCCTCCCCCATCAGCTTTGCTGTGTGTACTAAAACATACAGAGCCAAAATTACAGCTTTATTTATAGCTGCCTCGAACTAATAGGGAGAAGGGAATGGGGTATAGTAGCTAATATAACCCAGGACTCTGCTGCTCTTGGCTAATCTTGGACCAGAGGGGAAACAGTGCTACTCCTCTCCAGCTTCACCTAGCATCCTATTCTCCTACAACCTGTCTTGTGTCTGCTTCCCTCCTCTTCTAGCAGAGTTGTATAGGTTATAACCTGTAACCCTGCCCTGTTACTATAGA